AGGGTGGGCTCCCTACGGGGCCGCAAAAACGCGTGAGGGTGTACCGAAATGATTTTGGCGGACGCGTTTAGCCGCAGCCACTGTGGCCTTAGGTGGAGCTCCCTATGAGGCCACGAAGCGTGTGATTGGTGTGTGACGAAATCAATGTGGCGGACGCATGCAGCTGCAGCCTCTGGGGCCTTAGGTGGAGCTACCCATGGGGCCACGGCGTGTGCGAGGGTGTGCCGAAATGAGTGCGGCGGACGCATGCGACCGAAGCCACTGGGGGCTTAGGTGAATCTCATGATAGGGCCACGAGGCGTGCGAAGGGTGTTCCGAAATAGGTGTGACGACGACTGTGATGATGACGATGATAGTAGTGTTGACTGGTGATGACATGCGGAGGGCAGAGGCAGTGATGCGAGGAGGGAAGAGGGAAGAGGAGTGAGGAGGAGGAGGGCTAGGAGGAAGGTCAGGACGCGATGCGCTGTCTCTTCAAAACGAGGGCCCCACACACACAAGAGGGTTTGGAAGATGTACGCGTCCGAGAGATGCCAGGGCGGAGGACCAGTTGAGAGAACGGCGGCTCCCCGCCCGAGGTCCGCTCAAAATCAGCCCCCGGAGCCCTCCAGGGTCCATCCTGACCCAGTTGTCGAGGCGGATCCAGCCATAGCGATGAGAAGCCTGGGGACCGAAGTCTGAGGAGGACCTCCGCAGGACCTCCCTCCGGGACCCCCCCCGATCCTTCACCGGGGCGCGCCGGCGCCCGCCGCACGGGGAGCGCTGCCCGCCAGCCCTGCTGCTCCTGGGGCCCGCGGACCCGGGCTTCGCCGCGGCGCCGCGGGGCGCGGGCGGTCGGCTGCCTCTCTCCAGCGGGGCCGTCCTCTTGCCGTCTCCTTCGCCCCCCCCTCCGCTCTTCGCAGCCGCAGCCGCAGAAACCTTGCGCCACACTGCGCGCGAGCACAGCTGGAACAAGATGGCCGTGCCTTCGGGGGGGGTTCTTCGGCAGCCGCTCCGGAGCAGGCTTGGAAGGCAGGTCTGCCCAAGAGTGCCCAGGAGGAGGAGGAGGAGGAGGAGGAGGAGGAGGAGGAGAAGGGGAAGGAGGGGGATGATGATGATGATGATGATGATGATGATGATGATGATGATGATGCTGATGATGATGAAGATGATGATGATGATGATGATGATGATGCCGATGAGGGTGATGAGGGTGATGAGGATGATGAGGGTGATGAGGATGATAATGATGATGATGATGACGATGATGATGATGAGTTTGATGGTGATGATGCTGATGATGGTGATGAGGATGCTGATGCGGATTATCATGCGGATGATGCTGATGGTGATGATGATGATGATGATGAGGATGATGGTGGTGGTGATGATGCTGTTGATGGCTATGATGATTGATGATGGTGAGGAAGATGGTTATGATGATGATGATGCTGATGCTGATGATGGTGATGTTAATGATGATGAAGAGGGAGGAGGGGTGATGATACTTATGATGATGGTGGTGATTATGATGTTGATGATGATGGTGGTGATCCGAAAAACTGCCGAGAAAGCCTTCCTTCCGTGATTCTTTCACGACGCAGGCTCATACGTCCGACGCCTTGACTTTTTTCACTACGAGGCCCCCGAACATCTCGACCAGCTCCCCAGGGCGGTTCCTTCATCGCGAGTCGCTTTTCCCTAACACCGGCGGTGGACAAACCTCCCTTGAGTAAACCCCCCCTTAGTGAAAACGGCCAGGGACCGACACCGGCGGACCTGGACCCGCAACAATGACAGCCGCGACGCCCTCTCGCGAAACGAAAACGGCCAATTCCTTAATCGACGTGTCAGGGTAGGAGGTCTATCCACCTCCGACTGGTACAAAAATACGCTAAGGCACATACGGTTCGTGTCGTGCCGACTTCGGCGTTGGCTTCTGACCGCGGAGATCTTTCAACCTTACCTTGAACGATCGGCCGTTTCCGAAACGTGCAAATCGTTCCACATCGAACGATTCTAGGTCGCCCGCGGCGTTCAACGTTGAACTTGACCAGGGACCGACCGTCCGGCATTCCTATAGGCCTACCACGACATGTTCATAGAACCCACAAATGTTCTAAGAACAGACACAATGTTCTTAAAACATATTCCCGATGTGTTAAAGCAAAGCAGTCCCAACCAGAAATGTCCTGAGGACGTGGAAACCGCAAGCGGTTCTTAGAACATTGTTCGGTAGGCCTATAGGCACGCCAAGACGCTTCGCCACTGCTTGATGAACGCCGCTAGCGGGGCCGCCGCCGGTCGGCACGACACGAACCTGCCGTACACATGGCCGCGCCAGGAAAGGGGGGGGACGGGCAGCCCTGGACCGCCCGGACCGGCAACCCGTCTGGCAGCCGCTTCGCTTCTGACAGCATCGCAATGTATGCAATAATCGCACTCCCGCGTTCCAGGGTCCGGCTGGAAGAAGGAACACTTACTTTTCAAAAGGGGCTCAGTCGTTCCTCTGTTTTGCGTGCGTTCCGCTACCTTTTTGGCGGCGACCCACCTGGTGTTCCCTCGGACTTCGTAGACTTGCTTGGAAAACACGGGGCTTCGTTCCTTATTTATCGTTCCGTAGGTCAGGCCGAATACTGTGATGCCGGCTATATGTGTTGTCCAGACGGCCACGGTCCCATGTGAGAACACAATAAAAGAGCACATGTCCAAGTCACGACCTCCTGTGCTCCTCGACCCACCTCTGCACCTTCGTTGCTATGAGGGTGTTGTTTGACGAGGTAAGTTGACTGTCCCAGGGCATGGCGAGGGCACTCAGACGCCCCAGACCCCATGCTTCTGCGTCACTTTTCGGGCCGCATCGATCTGTGAGGTTCCTGGGGCCCGAGGCAAGGCACAACCATCACAGCAGCGAAGAATCTGCGACGCCAGGAACTGAGGGCACGTTGGAGGACTGGACTCGTCCACGGCGACGCCAAGGCTTGGCAACGCGCACACGGGGGTGTGGGGGAGGGGGGAAGGCTTCTCAAAAGGAGGAAGTTGGGCGCCCGAATTATCCAGGGTAACTGGGGCCCGGGGCAACTCGGGTTTGGATTCCCGAGAAACGAACCCGAGTTAGCCCTGACCCGAATTACCCCTGATGATCTGGGGCTCTGGACGCCCGAATTATCCGGGGTAACTCGCGCCCCGGGGTAACTCGGGCTCGGACTCTCGAAAAACGAGCCCGACATCGCCCTGACCCGAGTTGCCCCTGTTGCTTCGGGGATCTGGGCCCCCCCAGACCCCCGACGCCCTGACTTTCTCATGACGCGACCCCCGGAGGTCCGGACCCATTCCTCGGGACCGGTTCTTCATCCCCGGTCGTTTTTTGACGCTTTGGTGGCGCGCACATGAGGGTGGAGGGAAGGGGGGGGCTTCTTAGAAGGAGGCTGCTTCTTCGAAGGCGCCGGCCTTACATCTACAGATACGGCCCGCGCCTTCTAAGAAGCAGGGGTGCTTCTAAGAAGCCCTCCCCCCTTCCCCCACCCCCCTCTGCGCGTGGCCGAACGCTCCTGAGGGCCGGGCCCCTGGAGGTCCGGACCCACTCCCCGGGACCGGTTTTTCGCCCCGAGTCGTTTTCTGGCGCTCCTGAGGGCCGGCGAGGGCCCCGAGAGGCCCAACACGGCGAAAAAAAAACACCGCCTCGCCTTTTTCGAGGGCCGGCAGGGGCCCCCGGAGGCCGAAAATATAGCGCAAAACCTCTCGCGGTGTGATTTGTCAGGCCCCGAGGGGCTCTGGCCTTAAGTCGGGCCTGTCCCCCTACAGGGGGATTTTCGACGAAAAATAGAAATACCCTCAACATAATAAAAGATACTCCAGAGATAATCTGGGGACTATTTTTACCGTATCTTTCTCCACCTTTTTGGTGCATTTGTGGGGTATTATTTTTTCCTTCGTCGAAGATCCCCCCTGTCGGAGGACATGCCCGCGACGTACCCCCCCGAGGAGCTGTCCGCGCCTGCATAAGGGGCAAACAAACCTACCTCGCTTTTGACCACCCTCGCTTCCAAGAGATACCAAGCGATGCCAAACTACGGCCCGTACTGGTCAGGCCGCTCGACGAGGAGGCGCGTGGTATGGCTTGGCTTTGCCTGGAAGCGAAAGCGGGGGAGGTAATTCACGCTCTGACTGCAGCCTGGCCTGCCGCGGGCGCCCGCGGCCGCCGGTCCGCGCGCGGCCGCCGGCGGGCGGCCGGCCCCGCGCCCCGGCCGGCGGCCGCGCGGCGCGCGCCGCGCTCGGCGGCTGCCCGGCGGAGGGCGGCGCGGGCGGCCGCACTGGTCGCCTCGCGTCGGGTCGCGTCGTTCCTCCTCCTTCCTCCTCCTCCCACCTCTCCTCTCCCTCCTCCTCCTCCTCCTCCTCCTCCCTCCTCCTCCTCCTCTCCCCCTCTCCTCCTTCCTCCTCGAGCTCCTCCTCCCCCTCGAGTCATGGAAGAATCACGACGCGCGGTTTTTCGCTATTTTCGGCCTCTGGGGGCCCTCACCGGCCCTCATGGACCGTCAGACAACGACTCAGGATGAAAGGCCGGTCCCGGGGAATGGGTCCGGACCTCTGGGGGTCGCGTCATGAAAAAATCACGACGTCGGGGGTCTGGAGTCGGGGAGGGGCAGAGCCTGCACTGGGCCTGCTTTCCACCACCACCACCACCACCAGGAGTTGGAGGGGGAGGGGGTCCTCCTCCTCCTCCTCCTCCTCCTCCTCCTCCTCCTCCTCCTCCTCCTCCTCCCCGTCCTCCACCTCCTTCCCCCCTCCAACTCGTGGTTTTGGTGGTGGTGGTGGTGGTGGTGGTGGTGGTGGTGGTGGTGGTGGTGGTGGAAAACAAGCCCAGCAGAGCCCCCTTTGGCGAAACCTCCTCCTCCTCCTCCTCCTCCTCCTCCTCCTCCTCCCCGTCCTCCACCTCCTTCCCCCCTCCAACTCGTGGTTTTGGTGGTGGTGGTGGTGGTGGTGGTGGTGGTGGTGGTGGTGGTGGTGGTGGAAAACAAGCCCAGCAGAGCCCCCTTTGGCGAAACGTGGCTTCTCAGACCTCGGGCGTCTCGATAAACACGAGGCGGAGGTTTTGCGCCGCTTTGGGCCTCTCGGGGCCCTCGCCGGGCCTCGGGGCCGTCAGAAAACGACTTGGGATGCAAAACCAGTCCCGGGGAAGCGGTCGGGAGGTCGGAGGCCAGCGTCTCGAAAAAATCGAGACGTCGGATGTCTGGGCTGCTGAAAACGACCTCGGGCCCACACCTGGCGGGCGCAAGCCCTGGAAAACGACGGCCGCGGCGCCCTCTCGAGAACCGAGACCAGACAATCCACCAATCGACGTGTCGGGGTGGGGTTTCCCTTCCACCCACGACTGCGGCGTGAGGAGGCAACCCCCGCCGTCCTCCACGCCGAAAGCGGACTCGACAAACGCGTCGACGAGGCCCAGGGTTCGGTCGGGCATGTCCTCCAACAGGGCGATGTTCGACGAGAAGAAGAAAAACAATAATCAACAACATGTCATACATTGTTCAAAAATTCGCGAAAAATCGTCTCCATCTTATTTTTGTTTGACTATTTTTGAGCGCTCCTCCTGTAGGGGGGCACGCCCGACTTGAGCTTAGAGCGGAGCGTGCGGCACGGTGGCGGGCAAGGGCCGAGCGGGGGGCCTCGTTCCCGCGGACAGCCGCCGGCGTCGACGCCGGGTCGGCGGCCAGGGACAGCCCCTCAAATCCTGGCCTTGCAAGCGTTCTGCATTCGGGAAAAAATGCGCCACATTTCGGGCCCGAGGGCCATCACAGATCGATG